TATATATATATATATATATATATATATATATAACGAGACCTGGATCTGTTAATCATCCGCCACAAACTGTATCCGATCGTTTTACTTAGGTTGTTCGTATACAATTAACTGATGTTGTCCGGACCACCCAGAAAGAAAACAGTGATTGATTTTGTACGTTGAAAAGGCGGGACACGGGGGCCCATAATAGCGAAAGGGAGGGGGAATATCATTGGGCTTGGCCATATGCCATGTCCTTCTAGGTCTCTAATCAAACACCAGTCAACCTCTGTGTCCTAATCTGGTCATCGAAATGGCCCGAAGAGAGACAAGCTAACTGTCTGTTTCACGTCATTCCCCGACGTTGCTGTCTGACCTCCACGGCACATCTTCCATTCCAATCCGGCTACAGTGAACAGCACACGCCTTGGTAGCCGGTGCTGCGGGATTCTTAATACGTGGTCTGACCATTGAATCTGACGAAGAAAAGGCATATGCTGCAGTTCCGTTTCTTTGCTATTATGTAAAACACTTCTGTATTGCTTATGCGTTGCACTTGCCGAACTCGTGAAACGCTTCACAGGAAGTAATCATCAAACGAGGACAGCCGTTACAAACCCTCCGCATAGAAAAGGATAACGTCGCGCCGTCAGCATGTTGAAGAGCGCAGCTCTTGCCCATGGATGGTATTTGGCTTTGAATGAAGATGAGGCAGGTCACGAATTGTAGTTGTTCATCGGCAGGAGGCAGTGAAGTCAAAAATGCACATGTACTTTCTACTTAGGTGGTGGAAAACCTACTAGAACCGTTTGCATCAATGAAGGGTTGATCTAGATTCGACCTCATTGCTCCATCACCTCCTAACAAGACTAGATCATCTGCGCAGTCCAGATCAAACGCCCGTTAAAAGAGGGAGAATTTAACCATCAAAGATGGAAATGAAGCACAACGTAGAAATCAGGAATCTGACGGATGTCGCTTGGAACCAGGTAGGGTGACGGAATCTGATCATAGACTTGAACGCGATTCAATCCATCTTCGCGGTATCTAACATGCTAACGGGCTTGATGGACATCTATAATACACAAGTCACAGATCCACCCGGTCGAAGGCAGCCCAATTATCCAGAAAACGTTCCGATCACTGATACGCCTGGCGATGCGTCACCGTCTGACTGGCTGACACCTGGTCGGCATGGTCATCACTGTCGTGGAAGTCAGTTTCTTCTTTGTAGTACATGAATTTGTAAGCGAGTGTGAATCCAATTAGAATGAAAACTGTGAGGATCATCGAATTGATTCTCGAGTAATCTGTTCATTGACTTTTTGGAGATGGGAGCTACTGATGGTCATGTTCATAAAGCAGAAACTCACTTTGGTGTCCCGATCTTCGTACACACTTCGGTTGACCAGGCAAGCAGTATTTGGCCATCAATCTACGAGCTACGAAGGTAGTTTCTCTTCATAAAGATAATCTCCACCCCTAAGAGAACTAATGACGTCGCTTATTCCTTCGACCCTTAGGTTTCCAGAAGCAATCCAGGCATCCGCGTCATAGTTCCTGGCATTTATGATAAAGACAATAAGAGCTCAAATGTCCCGCCTAATGGCCTACTCATCTTGAAGGCATGTAATCGGCTTTCATCGGGTTCACGAATAGTTTCACTTAGACATGGTCTTTGAAAACCGATTGATGGGGTTAAACGGAATAAACGGTAACTGTTTTCAGTCAGTCATGTCATTTGAACCTCTTTCGCTTGTTGACTGCGACGAGCTTCTCACTCAGCAAACTCTCGGATGAATGACACTACATGACTTTTGTTTTTTCATTGTGATCCAAATATGGGGGGAATGGAACACCGAAGTCCCAGTAAACGATTGCTACCTGAAGATATGTATGGTGCATCCGTACAGTCGGGATATAAACAAACATTGAAGAGTAAGCTGTACGGTTCATTGGCGATCATCTGTAACCGGGTGTGTAGTTGTCCAACCTGAGTTATATGCCACAGGAATGCCCCCTTGGGACCTGGCTGTAACAGTCCAAACGCGTCAAGTATATCATCTAAGTTGACCTTTACGGAAGCCAATTGGCCCAAACCATGATGTATCTTCTGACCATATGTTCCGATAGGAGCAAGAGATAGCTCAGCGTTTGAGGGGTGAACCTACTGATCGGGATGTCCTGAGTTCGAACCCAAACAACCTTTTCGATTACTCCTAATCAGGTTGGACAATCTAACAGTAGCTCAGCCCTTACAAGTCCTGCAATTTGCGCAGCAGCCATGCACCGAAAGGGCGCAAAGGCTGAAGCATTTTATTTCGTTTTTTCTTCGCTGGTATTCTGGACGGAACCCGTTCACCGATAGCTAGTGGTAGCGTCAATCAGAGTCCTTTCCTGAGTGGTGAAGAATGGACGCCAATTTACATGACAATGTCTAAGATGTATGAAACCTAGGGCGGAGGAACAAAGCGGTCGGGGCTTGATCGGCCCAAAAGCTTGGAACATGAGGGCCACCATACGGGTTTCAACGGCCAACAGGTGAATTCTGGAATTGTTTACGCACAATCTTAACCGCGAGGCCCAGTGACGACGAGTGGAGTTCGCAATCTACTTGAAGCTGATAACCAGGGTTTAGTTCATACGTCTTTAAGAGAGAGACCATGTATCCAGGGTGTCCACAATGCACAAGGAGACATATGTCCACCGTGAGCAATCTATTGTCCAGTCATTGTTCTAAATCACGAACGAACTATGCTTCCGCCGGTGACTTCAAAACAAAGTTTAGCCAACTCTCCTAGATAGACAGCCGATGGCCCGTCAACTCGGTGAAAGGGTTGCACAATTCTGCCCATGCCATGAGAAGGAATCGAACACGCCCTTCCCAGCAGTACCAACATGAATAGAAGATACCTGGGGCGTGTACCAAGAGGATTATTTGGTGGCTGACAAACCAAGCACCTGCAGTACCCCTCCCAACTGTACTGGGGCATTGGAGGCTAACCCAGATCTGAGACTCGGACAGACTTTTCCAAACGAATGTACAGCGAAGGCTACCTCAGGGCTTATTTGGATCGTTGTTTAAGGTACCTGCGTACTTTCCATGATAAAAAATTCTGCTCCTTGATTGATGAAACTAACTGACGACCCACGACCGATTTCGACCAGTTTGGAGCTAATCGGGAAGACGTATTCGTCAGCATAAGCAAGGTGTTTGTTTGATTCTCATGGTACAATGCCATCTAGCGAATGATTGTTGAACGTCACATTTAATATCCAACTCATAGAAGACAACATTTTATGGTTTACGCCTGTCTGATAAGCTTCAAATATGGCGAAACTGGTGGTAGGCTGTCAACGGGTTTTTGTCAACCACATAACTAGCACATTATTGTCCATGTGATTTCCCAAAGGTTCACCTCACCGGAAACACGTGAAACTCCTGTCAGTAAGCTAACGTGAGCAACAACAGTCAAACAAATAACAAACGGCAGTACTTGGTTTCGAATCAACTAGTTCTTTCGGTGCATTGCTGCCAAGCCAGTTGTAGAAAGCAAGAGTCGAGATACTGTCAGGTTGCCCAGAACTATACAGGAGCAACTGAAAAACAAAGGATGGGTTCGATCCATGAACCTCTCCGCCAAAAATTGGACCTTTTAGCTCAAATTCACATCCAACTGTATGTGAAAGCCGCTCAGCGCACTCCAGTTCGGTTACGGACCGTCTAGGTTACTTTGACTACATTTCGCTTGTCAGTAAGCAATGTTCCGGATAGCTTAGCGATCAAAGCGGGGAACTTTTGCCCCGAAAATCCATTGTTCGAACCCCATGCTGGCTTCTCAGTTGCCCCTGTCTAGGCCTGAGTATTCTTCGTGTTTCACGGCAGCTATTCACAGAAAGCGTATCACAGTTGAGCGACTTACTCTTTATTCTAATTAATCTTAGTGAAACACTGAGCTATTGTGTCAATCTCAAACACCCATTCCCAAAGCCCTGAGGTAAATTTTAGATGGAAACGGAATCCTTCTGTAGAGGAAACAACTGCCTCGCTGGAAATAATGTGCCACGAGCGATCAGCACACAATCAGATCACTTTTGTAAACGGAGACCAAGGAAAAAGTGGAGTGTAAACTTAGACAAGATCCAAGTCAAAGTTTAAAAAATTTCCCTAACCGACAGAAAGACAGAAGCAACTTACCATCAATGTATGCACGGGTGAAAAATACTACAGTAACATCGTGATGACAATTTCCTTCCTAAAACAATGAATGTTAAAGCCAAAAGACCGAACGAGTTACCGGCCAGGCACGCAAAAATAACTTGGACAAAAACTTCAGTGCATTTTCGAAATACAGATCTCCATGTTCATCGAATAGCCACATTTCCTCGCTTAGTTGAATAAATATCTGAATTACTGAGGTGGCGGAGCGGAACACAATCTGTAAGTTGCAAGCTGATTTGAGAACAACCACACTTACTTTGGTTTCCGGACCAACGTAGCCGCAAGAATATACCTCGCCTTTCCGCCACAGCTCCCCAACCTGAACCCTGCAGCTAAATTTTAAAAAAAAGTTGAATCACTCGAAACTTACCTCATTTCATTATGTGCTATCTTTCTGTGAACCTGCAAGACTGTCCCGAGCTAGGTAAACATTGTAACAACCAAACTGAATACACGCTCTTACCAACTCCTGTGAAAAACGATACAAATCACTGCGGCTAAAATATTGATCCCGAAAGCACAACTCTACCAAATCCAAAGTAACAGACTTACATCAACCTGTAGCCGGGCCAAAGTGAAGAGACCTTACCTTCTTTTCGACTATCCGAATGCACACGTTTTTATGTGCCTGCAGCTTCAAAATGTTAGCGAGCGACTGTTCAATGCTGATAGTATCTGGAATCTAAGTTATTGGGAGTAGAAAACAATATACCTCGCCACTGGATATCCTCACGGAGAGCGGAAACGAGAAACAAAGCATGGTGTGCATCGCCCGGATGGTAAACTTCAATCACATCACCTGCTGACACACCAGGGGTATTCCGTGAACTCAGACGTACGTCATCTGCGGGTTACCAATGTTGGACTGAGAATGGTACCTGTCACAATCCCACGCGAATCATTGGATTGATGATACTGTAGCTTCAACCTCGGTGGTGTGTTCATAGTTCTAATTGGATCATGTCCGCCAAATGTAGAAAGCAATCGGAGTTATTTTTTCCGTAATATTCGGTTCTCCTTAGGCTAGTTGATGAAAGAATGGAAAAGATGAAGTTATTGCGAAGTTCTTGGCATAGATGAGTGATAACTACATACCACTGGGCAACACAGTCCTGCATGCACTTGAGTGGCTATTCTAGGTTTGAGTGACACACAGTGTCACACACGGTTTGAATTTCCGTTCAGCTGTAGTACCGCCGCCTTCGGGCGGAAGGAACACCTTATCATCCAAAACATCACACACACGCTGCACCGACTCTTTCCAAGTTGCACGGGTAAGACAATCACAATAATCGTACACCTTCATTGCCATATTAAATTGCAACTTATTACAAACGCGTCACATAATCAATAACAAAGGAACCGGTAAATAAACAGGCACTGTTTCGTTGCACACAGACCTTGCACTTGGTGTTAGGATTTATTTCAAACGGGAAATCGACTGCCTCCACGAAAGTATACATTTGACCAACCA